GGGGGGCGGCTGGAAGGCGTAGAGGGGAGCCCCCTCCCCGGCAGCACCCAGCGCCTCCGCGTCCCCCAGGGAGCGCAGGAAGCCCCGCGGGGACACCTCGGCCAGGATCACCTGCGGGACGGCACCCCACACCCTCAGTGTCCCTCCTGGGGGTGGCACCCCACACCCTGTGCCCCCCCACCCCGACACCCTGTTACCTGCTCCGGGGGGATGTGTCCCTCCCGTGCCACCATCTCCCGGAGCTCGGCCACCGTGCCCAGCAGGGGCACGGCCAGTCCCACCCGCAGGAACCGCCGGCGCTCGCACTGTAGCACCAGGGTGACGTTGAGAGCCCTGGGGACACCGAGGGGACACACACACACACACCCCCCCATCAGCGGGGAAAGCCACCGCGCTGAGACCTGACACCGCTCGTGACCGCGCTGGAGGGATCCATGTCCTGGCTCCAACTCCACCCATCGGACACAGCTCCTGCAGCAGTGACCATCACCCCTCCCAACGTCGCCACCACCTCCCAAATGAATTTTTGACCCCCCAAATATGCAAATTACTCTAATTGGCAGCCAAACCTCCACCGGCCAGGGAGGCACACGGCCGGGCTCACCTGGTCTGGCGCAGCGGGATGGGCAGGGAGATGCACAGGAAGGGGTCGAAGGTGTTGCTCTGCTTCAGGCAGTGAGGGCACGTCAGGGAGGACCTGCAAAACATGGCCAGGGGGTGTCACTGGCTTGGGGATGGCACCCCCGGAGTCCCCACCCTGGGTACCGCATCCCGGGTACCGCATCCCGGGTACCACATCCCAGGTACTCACATCCCAGGTACCACACCCTGGGTACCGCATCCCAGGTACTTGCATCCCGGGTACCACATCCCGGGTACCACACCCTGGGTACCACACCCTGGGTACCACATCCCAGGTAGCTGCATCCCAGGTACCCGCATCCCGAGTACCTGCATCCCAGGTACCCGCATCCCAGGTATTCACATCCCAGCTACCACACCCTGAGTACCACATCCCAGGTAGCTGCATCCCAGGTAGCTGCATGCTTGGTACTGCATCCTGGGTACCACATCCCAGATACTCGCATCCCAGGTACCACATCCCAGGTACCATACCCTGGGTACCACACCCAGGGTACTGCATCCCAGGTACTCGCATCCCAGGTACCACACTCTGGGTACCGCATCCCAGGTACCACATCCCAGGTAGCTGCATCCTTGGTACCACATCCTGGATACTGCACCTTGGGTACCACATCCCAGGTACCCGCATCCCGAGTACCTGCATCCCAGGTACCCGCATCCCAGGTATTCGCATCCCAGCTACCACACCCTGAGTACCACATCCCAGGTAGCTGCATCCTTGGTACCACACCCTGGGTACCACATCCTGGATACTGCACCTTGGGTACCACATCCCAGGTACCAGCTGCATCCCAGGTACCTGCATTCCAAGTACCCGCATCCCAGGTAACTACATCCCAGGTAGCTGCATGCTTGGTACTGCATCCTGGGTACCACATCCCAGATACTCGCATCCCAGGTACCACATCCCAGGTAGCTGCATCCCAGGTACCCGCATCCCGAGTACCTGCATCCCAGGTACCCGCATCCCAGGTATTCGCATCCCAGCTACCACACCCTGAGTACCACATCCCAGGTAGCTGCATCCTTGGTACCACACCCTGGGTACCACATCCTGGATACTGCACCTTGGGTACCACATCCCAGGTACCAGCTGCATCCCAGGTACCTGCATTCCAAGTACCCGCATCCCAGGTACTCGCATCCCAGGTAGCTGCATCCCAGGTAGCTGCATGCTTGGTACTGCATCCTGGGTACCACATCCCAGATACTCGCATCCCAGGTACCACATCCCAGGTACCATACCCTGGGTACCACATCCTGGGTACCACACCCAGGGTACTGCATCCCAGGTACCACACTCTGGGTACCGCATCCCAGGTACCACATCCCAGGTAGCTGCATCCTTGGTACCACATCCTGGATACTGCACCTTGGGTACCACATCCCAGGTACCCGCATCCCAGGTACCCGCATCCCGAGTACCTGCATCCCAGGTACCCGCATCCCAGCTACCACACCCTGAGTACCACATCCCGGGTACCACATCCCAGGTAGCTGCATCTTTGGTACCACACCCTGGGTACCACATCCTGGATACTGCACCTTGGGTACCACATCCCAGGCACCAGCTGCATCCCAGGTACCTGCATTCCAAGTACCCGCATCCCAGGTACTCGCATCCCAGGTAGCTGCATGCTTGGTACTGCATCCTGGGTACCACATCCCAGGTACCCCACCCTGGGTACTGCATCCTTGATACCACACCGTGGTCGGGTACCGCACCCCGGGCATCACACCCCGCAGGGCTCAGATGGCCCCAGCATCACGCAGGGTTTGCAGGACCTCCTACCAGGGCGACACACCACAGCCCGCGCCAGCTTGCCCACCCCGACGGTCTGTTCACTCTGAAACCTAACAAGGGTGCCCGTGGTAACTGGTGCTACAGAAGCCAGAGGGAAATCCCAGGGTTGGGGGAGTGAAATCCCAGGGTTGGGGGTCTCCCACTCCCACATGTGGCCCTGAACCCCCCCCAAATCCTGCTCCCCCTCCCGTGGCTCACAGATCCCAAGGTGGTTTTGACTCCTGGAGGCTTTGGGGTGACCAACAGCCTGGTTTAAACGAACCTTTAATTCCAACAACCACCCTACCCCCTATTTCATTTTAATTCTGCCTTTTTAATTTCCTTTTTTCCCCCTCCTTTCTGTTCAACAAAAAGGAGAAAAATAAATTAAAAACCAAATCAAATCCCAAGCCCTTGTTATTTGTCACCTTGAAGAGCCACTGAGCTCCCCGGGATGCTACAGCACCAATTAATAAATTCTTTTGCACACAGACGGGCTCTGGCATGCGGAAGGGGGTGGATAATTAAAGCGCCTTTTTTTTCATGCAGGGCGAGGGATTAATTGAGCGAGGAAGAAGGACTTGTGGTGCCAGATGTTTCTCCTCGTGCCTGCAGTGCCATGGCATGGGGATGGGGTGGCCAGATGCTGGTCCACTTGAGCACCTGTGAGTCTCAGCTGGATGAACATGTGGGGTGTCCCATCAGCCACATGGGGGGCATCCCCACACTGGGGACAGGCTTGGGACAACTGGGTCCTGTGATAGAACCACAGAATGGTTTGGGTTGGAAGGGACCTTAAAGATCATCCAGTGCCACCCCCTGCCCTGGGCAGGGACACCTCCCACCAGCCCAGGTTGCTCCAAGCCCCCTCCAACCTGGCCTTGAACCCCTCCAGGGATGGGGCAGCCACAGCTTCTCTGGGCAACCTGGGCCAGGGTCTCATCACTTGGCCTGGTGGCACTTCATGAAGTTCACACAGTTCCACTCCTCCAGCCCATCACAGTCCCTCCAGATGGCATCCCCTCCCTCTTAATGGCACCACTCAGCCTGGTGTCTCCTGCCAACTCGCTGTGGGTGCACTCAATCCCATCACGTCACGTCACTGATGATGATATTAAATTGTACTGGTCCCAGTATGGACCCTTGAGGGACACCACGCCTTACTGGGCTGCTCCACCACCCACCACCACCAACAGAGGACAACTAGGGCACCAAGCCCTGCCCATGTCCCCAGACTGTGCCCACCCAGCCCTGCCAGCTCAGCAGCCCCCTTGCTTTTCCCAGTGAAATGCTAGTGTGGCACAAAATCAGTTGTCCCAGCCAAAGCCACCTCCTGGTGGCCCTCCCCATCCTGGAGCGGTGATAACGAAGGGAACCACTCAAGGATTCATTAGGGTGAGGTGGGCAGTGGGGTCCCCAAAGGCAGGGGGTATGAAATGCCCAGGGAAGGAGGGTGGTGGGTGGAAGCAGGGGCAGGGCTGGGGTCTGCCCATGTCCGTGTGTGTGACCATGCCAGGAGGTGATGCTGGAGGTGGCTGATGTCCCCCCCTGTGCCCTCACTCCCAAGGATCAGGCATCCACCCACAAGAAAAACCGCCCCCGGGATGCGGTTCAGCCCCTGCTCTGGATCAGTCCATGCTAAAACCCATTTGTCCCCTCTGGCCAAGAGCCACCCAGCCCATCATCCCCACCCTGTCACACCCTCACAGCCTGGACAACGCCACCAGCATTGCACCGTGCACACAACATACAGCTCTGTCCTAATTCTGCTGCTCCTGGAGCTTCCCAGCCAACTGCCAGGAGCCCCGGGGATGAGACAGGGGTGGGGGAGCAGCAGGACACCCCACTCACTGCCGTGGGGATTCAGGGTCCCTCCCTGTGTCTGTTTTGGGACTTGGAAAAATATTTGCTGGCGTTGAAGTGGGGTAAGAAAGGTCCTGAAAGCCCTCACTCAGCAGTTTGCCCCCAGCTGTGGCTGTACCACCCACGGGGGAAACCGCTCCCATGGCCAGGATGGATGGATGGGATGGATGGGATGATGGATGGGATGATGGATGAATGGGACGGAGGGATGGGAGGGATGGGATGGAGAGATGGGAGGGATGGATGAATGGATGCAATGGATGGGATGGATGGGATGATGGATGGGATGATGGATGGATGGATAGGATGGATGGATAGGATGGATGGATAGGATGGATGGATGGGATGGATGGACACATGGATGGATGGACTGGATGGATAAGACGGATGGAGTCTCTCTGCAGGGCTGAGAGCTCCCCAGCTCACCCCTTCCCTGGGTTCGTGAAGTCCGGCCACCCACCAGCAGAGCCCCCGCGGCACTGCCCGGGGCTGGCAGGAGGAGGAAGCCCCCGGCCGGGCAGGATGGGGCCCTCCCTGCTCACCTGTACTGCGCCTGGAAGTGGCTCTGCACGAAGCTCTGCCCGCGGGGGGGCTGGGCAGGTGGTGGGGAGCTGCCAGCATCGCCTCTCCTGTCCTCGCTGGGCTGCGGGGACAAGAGACAAGTGGGGTGAGCGAGGCGCTGGTGTGACCCCCACCATTACAGAATCATCGAGTTTAGCTTGGAAGAGACCTTTAAGATCATCAAGTACAACTGTTGAGCCACCACTGCCCAGTCTACCACGAAACCATGTCCCTAAAGGGGCTGGGGACATGTCCCAGTGAACCAAGCCCAGCTTTGGTGTCCCTACAGCACGAGGACAGGCTGAAGGTGATGCCAAGGTGACCTCTGCCCAGCACCCACCAGCCTGGCACTGCCATGCCCTCCAGGCTCCCCGTGTGCCACCTTCTGGGGATATTTTGGGCTATTTCTGACCAGCTGCAGCCCCAGAGCTTCTGCACCCCCAGGAACTGGGAACAAGCCCAGCTGAAACGCTCCAGGAGGGAATTCCTGGGTGAGTCCTGGCTGGTTTATCCACACCACAGCACCCGCCCTCCGGCCAGGGAAAGCTTGGCAGTGGGGGGGGGAAGTTGTTTTCCCCCCAACTTCTCCCCCCAAGGAGCCGCAGTCCCCTGGGCACACACCTGCAGGGTCGGTAGCCCTGGCAGGGAGGTGGCCATGGCACCCGCTGGGCTGGGAAATGCACCCACGGGTGCTGGGAGCTGTGGTGTGGGTGGGCGAGATGGTAGGACACCGGGATGAGGGGGTGTCTGTGTGTCTGTGTGTCCGTGTGTCTGCAGGACGAGAGCCTGGAGTAGGTGTGCACGCTCCTGTGCACGCTCCTGTGCACGCCCCCGCCTGGGGCACGCACGGCTGGGTGTGAATTAACCACAGGCATCTCCCCAGAACTAAAACAAGCCCTGGCTGGCACGATGCCCTCCCAGGCAGGTGTGCCAGCCCAGGGCGGCCAGGGCCACGTGTGTCCCTGGCACAGTACCTGGCATGCCAAACCCAGGCACGGCACCCCGGCATGGCACCCCGAGCCCAGGCACGGCACCCAGCACCCTGACCCACCGCCCCAGAGCCGGGCTTTCTGTGCCCACGCCACCAGTGCAGAGAGAGGGAGCTGTGCCATCCCACCAGCATCCCTCCGGCTGGCAGGGGAGGCAGCCCTGGGGACCACTCGCTCCACCACCCAACCATCCCTTGGCCACCTCCCCACGTCACTGCTCCCCCCTGGGCCATCCCTGGACGGTGGGGTGACTGTCTCTCCCCCCACATTCCAGACACCTGGGTCTGAGCCAGCAGCACCACAAGCCAGCCGTGCCCCGGGCTGGGTGCCCGCACCCCTTCCCCATGGTAAAGCCCATGGCATGTCCCTGAGCAGCATCAGGAGCAACACTGGGCCCCCGTCCCCAAGAGAAACCGGTTCTTCCATGGACTGGACACTGCCGTGGGGTGGGTGAGGAGCGTGGCATGAGGGAGCCCTCTCTCCACCCCCCTGCTTGCAGCACGGGGAAACTGAGGCACAGCAGGGAGCGACACCCAGGACAGCACTGGCAGGACGCCTGTGTCCCTGCCACTTGCTCCCAGGGCCAGCACAGGATCCGTTCCTCCATCCCAAGGCAAGGCTGGGGATGTAGCCCTCTGCCAAATTTGGGGGATGCCAGCATCAGCGGCAGGAGGTGAGATGTGCCCCGCACCTGGGACACCCCGAGAGAAGCCAGGTCCTTCTGCTCCGCTCCATAGGGACCGGGGATGTTGGGATGTGACCACGTCACACAGCCAGACCCCCCTGCCTGGGAGTCCCCTCCCTGCCTGCCCCCTCCCTGGGCACCGCAGGGACCCCCCCGTCCAAACTGTGCCGTGAGCTAAACAGTTGTCAAAATTGAGTTCTGTTTACACCGAGCTGACTATCAGTGAAATAAACAGAGATCACTGCAGAGCTCTAATTACAAAAACAAATTGTTCTCTCTGTAATCGAGCTGAAAAGGTTAGTCTCCTTCTTCTCCTGCCCCCCCCCGGGGCCCCCCCCCCCCCCCCCCCCCCCACAGGGGACAGGAGCTTCACCCCCGCTGTGGGCACACAGAGCCTGACGGCAGCAGAGACGTTGCAGAAAGGAGCCTCAGTAGCTTGGGAAAGGACTGGGCTGTTTTGGGGTAAGAAAAGGAGTTTTCAGTGTTGCCACGAGAAAGACTGAAAATCAATGAGGTATTTGGCCGGGAGGTGGATTTTCCTCGTGCCATCTGGTGGCACCGGGTCCTGCTGAGCCTGACCTGTCCTTACAGCCAGCCCAGGGCCAGGGGCCATCTGGTGTGGCAGAGAGGGGACCTCCAGCCTTCCCGGCAGCCAGAGCCTTGGTCTCCTCCCTGGTGACCACCAAGGTGCCCCAGCAAACACCTTGTGGGCACCCATCGAAGAGCCTCAAGGGTATTTCCCCCCCTCCAGCTCACCCAGCTCTGTGCCCTGGACCACCCACCTCCTCATCTTCTGCTTTCCACCAGCTGAGCTCCCCTGGCCCCCCAAGCCTTGGCACGGGCTTGTCCTGGGGCCAGCTGTCCCCCTCGTCACCACCCCTCGGTGTCTGCACAAGCTGCCACCCCCCAGCCCGTGTGAGCAACAACCAGGACGGGCACGTGTGTGCCCAGCTCCATCCGGATACTTCAAAGCCATTATTCAGGCTCACATCCCCCCAGGGACACCCCCACCCCGGGGATGTGGGCACACGGGTGCCACTCGGGTGGCACCCCCCAAAAAGGGGCTGAAGCTGCAGAGAGGGGCTGGGAGAGGATGAGTCAAGGGGAGGATGCTGAGGGGACACAAAAGGTCCCATCCCTGGAGCCAGGCAGGTGCCCCGGGCACTGCCTCCAACACGGGGAGCCCAGGGCACCACCAGTGTCACACCATGGCCCATGGCACGTGTTGGCACCTGGCATTGAACAAATGAGTGAGGGGATCTCCCAAACAGCCTGGGGGATCTAAATGCCTCCAGGGAAAGGCAGGCAGGGCTGAGGACGGCTCAGCTCAGTGCAGGGATGGCTGGAAGTCCCTGGGGCTGCCCTGCCCGGAGGCTTTGGAGATGGGCACCGCAGCCGAGCTCTCCCAGGCAGGATGGAGCTGTGCCCCTGCGAGGGGATGCCCAAGGGGGCTCTGACCCACACCCCTCGGCCACAGCAACGGGCTTCAAAGCTGGGGACAGGGAGGATGAAGCTGCTCCCGGGACCCCCGTGCCCAAGATGGGCATCACCCCCAAAATGGGGACAGGCAGCATCACGGCAGGCAGGAAGCAGGAGGCAGGAGGCAGGGCCAGGGCGATGCCATGAGCACAGATGGATGGAAGGAGACTTAATTACTCGTTTTGCCAGCAGCAAAGCTGCCGAGCACTGTAATTACAGCGGGCTTAGCTGGAAGCGGGGAGGGATGGGGTGGGGGGGGGCTGGATCTTCTCCTGACAGAGCAATCCCAAGAACCAGGGTGCCCACCAGAACCGGGGTGCCCACCAGAACCGGGGTGCTCAGCCAGATGGGCTCCTGCTGCCACCCCCACGCTCTCCCAGCACCCCAACCACCTCACCCAGCCCCACAGCACCCAGACCCCACCATCTTCCCCCCCCCAAACCGCATCACCCGCATCCCCATCCCATACCAGGGTGGGGACACAACTCCAGCCCACCCCTTCCCAGGACATCTCCGCCCCTCCCAAGTCCCAGACCTGACGTGGGCACCCCATACCCCCCAGCTGGGGGCCACCCACCTCCTCCTGGCGGCGGTGGGTCTGCTGGGCGGGGGAGGCAGCCCCCAGGTCCTGGTGCATGCGGTCCAGCAGCCAGAGCAGGAACTCGAGGGCGTCGTGCTGCGCGTTGCCCCGGAACTGGGAGCTGTGTTTGGAGACGATGTTCTGCAAGAGATGGGGGCAGGGAGGGGGCTGAGCCTCGGCCCCGCGCTGCCCCGCTTCGTTAGTGCCCATCAGATGCTTCTCTGGGCACCCTGCCCCACCGAAAGCCCAGCTCCCCGTGCCACCCACCAACCAGAGCATCGCCCTGCCCACGTAGGATCAGGCCCTAATCTCTGCCCCCATCAACCCACCCCACGACATTTTGGCTAATAATTGCACCGGTGGGCAAGCAGCAGGTTGCCTTCCCTCGCTGGGGGCTACAGCAGGAAGAAAGTGGCTGGAAACGCCGTGGGGCTGAGGTGAGGGGCTGGGAGCCATGATGGGACCCAGGGACAGGCTGGGGTCCCGTGGGGTGGCGGGTGAGGCAGGAGGTCCCTTCTCCAAGACCCACTTGGGGGGGGTCCATGGCCAGCTCCCAGCCCAGCAGTCCCAGGCTGGGGTCACCTCTCTGCCTTGGGCACCAGCAGAGCCAGGATGGGGCCCTGACCCCAAAAGAGCAGGACACGTAGGGCTGGGAAACGCATTCCCTGTGGGGAGGCCAGGGAGAGAGTCCAGGAAACACCCCAAAAGGCAGAACCAGGGGTCCCCAAGGACCCATCCCTGAGCCTGGGCTGGCGGTGGCTGCTCGGAGCTGAACAGGAAAGGACAATTTGGATATCTCAGCCCCAAAACTAACAGCAGGAGGGAGAAACCCTGACCATCCCTGTCTATTTTAACCAGCTGACATAATTAAACCCCAACCATCCCTGCTGATTCCAACCAGGCCGCCGGGAACTGCCAGGACAGGGATCAGACCTGGAGCATCGCCGGGAAACACCCTGAGCCAAGAGCCCTCCGGTCCCCGGTGGCACCAGCATCCTGGGACAAGCAGAGGGAGCAAGGCCACCGCAGACGGGCTTCCAGCAAAACGAGTCGCAGACTCGGCTCTTATTGAAAAAAATCTTATTTAGGCACATCTTTTTTAAAAAAAAGAAAAAAGAAAAATAAGGTGGAAATTCATGGAAGATGCAAAGAACCACCTGGAAGGAGGAAATTCAAAGCAAAGGGTGGATTGGGTGGTTTCTTTTTTTGTTCCGTGCCCAAGGAATGTGTGTTTGGGAGCAGAGGGCATGGAAACACCGTGCCCAGCACCGCCAGGGCTGGTTACTTTGCTACAAGGGCAATAAAAGCAAGGAGCACCCCGCTCCCCCGGGAGCACCCACTGCACCCCCAGCCCCTGCGGGTCCCCTCCAGGCGGGGATGGGAGGGAGCCAGGTGCCCCTGGGAAAGGGGGGGGGGGCAGAGCAGCAGGTACCCCCACCCCTGCCCGTGCAGGACCAGCCTGGCCGATGCCACAGGAGCTGGTGGCTGCTGGAAACCCAGGGACCAGCTTCCCAGGAGCTTCTCTGGGCAAAGTTCAACTGCAGCACCACGTCCCTGCTGCAATGTCACCCGCAGCACGTGTCCCTCAGCACGGGGGGCCGCGATGCCAGGCTAAAAAGCATTGCCCTGTGCCCAACACACTGTCCCCGAGGCCACCCCGGGCACAGCCCTGCACCACACCGGTGTGTGCCCGGCAGGGACGTGACACACACTCAGCGACAGCGCCTGAGGCCACCGAGATGGGCTCCCCTGGCACCACCCCGCCTTGCCCCACCATCACGGCCAGCATCACCCTCATCCTTATGGCTCCGTGGGGTGGCCGGGGCTGGGGGCTCACCCCCCCCCAAGGGGTGTCAGAGCTGGGGTGAAGGCAGCCCGGCCGGAGGTGGGGGGCACAGCAGGGCTTGGGGCATCTGGCAGGGCAGGGCAAGGTCTGTGGGGAGTGGGTGCTGGGGCAGGGGGTGCTGGGAGGAGAAGGATGCCCATGGGTGCTGGTGGGTGCTAGGAGGAGAAGGATGCCCATGGGTGCTCGAGAGCAGGAGTGTGTGCCCGTGGGTGCTGGAGGGTGGCGGTGGGTGCTGAGAGCTGGGAGGGGGGCAGTGGATGCTGGGGGGCAGCGGGTGCTGGGGGGTGCCAAGCAGGGGGATGCTGGTAGGTACTGGGAGCAGGAGAAGCTGGTGGGTGCCAGGGGCAGCGGGTGCTGAGAGCAGGAGGGTGCTGGTGGGTGCTGAGAGCTGGGAGGGGGGCAGTGGATGCTGGGGGCAGTGGGTGCTGGTGGGTCCTGCGAGTTGAGGGGTGCTGGTGGGTGTTGGGAGTGGAAGATGCTGGTCGGTGCCTGGAGCAGCAAGTGGTGGTGGGCACTGCGGGCAGCGGGAGGTGCCAGTGGGTGCTGAGAGC